AAGGTCTCCCCTCAGCCTCCTCTTCTCCAGGCTGAACACCCCCAGGTCCCTCAGCCTCTCCTCATGAGACTTATTCTCCAGACCCCTCACCAGCTTTGTTGCCCTTCTCTGGACCCGCTCCAGCACCTCAATGTCTTTTTTATGGTAGGGGGCCCAAAACTGGACACAGCACTCAAGGTGAGGCCTCACCAGTGCCCAGTACAGGGGGACAATCACCTCTCGGGCCCTACTCCCCACGCTGGTCCTGATACAGTGGGATGAGAAAGAATTGTTCCTACATCCAGTTCCCAAATTCCCCCGTGGCCCCACACAGCACCCCAGAGGCCATGGAGTGCCCTTACGGGATGTTATTATCCAAAGGGCAGTTGGGCAGTGACCACTTAAAAAAAAAAAAAAAATCGGAACAAACCAAAAAACACAACACACACACAAATTATCGGTCAAATTCCAGCACTAGGATTAGAGCTGCTCTTCCACATCTGTAAAACTTCCCTTGCCAGTCGCTCACCCCGGGTTATAAGGAGTTATAAATAGCATTCTGTCGTTCAGCCAAGAGTTATCTTCACCTCCTTCCCTCCACCCCACCCCGACCTCCTCTGCGCCTCCCGCACGTGGCACGGAGACTTCAAGGAACACATTCATACCTGGCAAATTTATGTTGACTCAACACGAGCACGTTGCCTCTGATTTCTGCTACGATCTTGCTCTTATCCTCGGGCCGGCCGTGCTCCAGGACGTGCTGGATAACGTAGTTCCCGTACTGGTCCTGTGTGAGGGACAGCAGGAGTGTGTGAGAAAAGGGGGAGGGGAACCCCTCATACCAAACCAGCTCCCCGTGTGCATTAAGATTTACAAACTTGAACTAAACGCTGATTCAAACAGCTATTGTATAAACCAGGCAAATTCACTGAATTTACTGAATTTCACTGAATTTTATTAAGGAAATAACGGGAGAATGAAGCACAAGTAACTGCTCTTTTCTGGATGAAGCTTGCCATTTTCCCCTGGTCTGAGACCCTTGGGAGACAGCAGTCCTCTGAGAGGATGTCAGTGAATTTCACTGAATTTTAGAGTTGGAAGGGACCATAGAGATCATCTAGTCCAACTCCCCTGCTGAAGCAGGATTGCCTAGAGCTTGTCAGAGCATGTTACTCAGGAGCATCCAGGTGGGGCTTGAAAATCTCCAAGGAAGGGGACTCCACCCCCTCCCTGGGCAGCCTGTCCCAGGGCTCTGTCACCCTCACCGTGAAGAAGTTTCTCCTCATATTTGAGTGGAACCTCTTCTGTTCCAACTTGTGCCCGTTGCCCCTCGTCCTCTCACTGGGAACCCCTGAAAAGAGTCTGGCTCCCTCCTCCTTCAACCCTCCCTTGAGATACTTGTAGGCATTGATAAGGTCTCCCCTCAGCCTTCTCTTCTCCAGACTAAAGAGTCCCAGCTCTCTCAGTCTCTCCTCATAAGGGAGATGCTCCAATCCTTGAATCATCTTTGTTGCCCTTCGCTGGAAATTCTTCCTACTTCTACAAAGAAGTGCATTTCTGAGTTTTACCAGGGGGTAAAATGCTACGCTTTTGTACCAATTACAAACCTCAACGCCATTTCCTTGAACCTGAAGTCAATACTCTGCTTATTTCAAGGTTTTTTTTTTGCTTTCTCTAGGTTGAAACACAGAGATCACACGTCCTGGAGGGCTGTGCTGTGGTTCTGGCCATGGGAGACTGTCCTCATGCATGTTCACTTTCTGAATGTGTGTACATCAGACCACAAACACAGATCCTCCCTGTTCCTGACACCAGAGACACAACCCGATGCCTCACCCCCAGGCACAATCCCTTCCCACTTTCCATGGGCTAAATACATGAGCACATGGGACAGGGCTCATTTGCTGGTGCATTTATTGTGCCCCAACACCAGAAACCCAGAAAAACCCATCCTCAGGAAGAGCACAAGGAAGAGGAAAGGCAGCCAGGAAGGGGGTGTGCATAAAACCAGCACATTTTAAGAACCCCAATTACATAGAATCATAGAATGGTCTAGGTTGGAAGAGACCCTTGGGATCATCGAGTCCAACCATCTCCCCTACTCTACAAAGTCCTCCCCTACACCATGTCCCTCAGCACTCCATCTAAATATCCCTTAAACACAGCCAGGGATGGGGACTCCACCCCCTCCCTGGGCAGCCTGTTCCAATGCCCGACCACTCTTTCGGTGAAAAATTCCTTCCTAATGTTCAATCTAAACCTCCCCTGTTGGAGCTTGAAGCCGTTCCCTCTCATTCTATTACTTCACATTTTCTTTTCCTAGAAGTTACCAACTCTTTGCATCAACTCCCTTAAGATCTTGTAACTTCTGCAGCGAAGAATTAGGAGACCCACCCCCTCAATACTTCAAACCCTTTCCAAAAAGGAAAGTAACTACAACTTTGATACCTGCTGGGTATTTGCATATAGTCAAAAAGCAGTAGTGAAGGTGCATTTCTTGCCTGCCAGCATCTTCCCTGTCCCTCCTCAGGACAGTCCCTGTGCTCAGACACCCCACGAGGGCTGAGTCCCCCCGGGGGGGTCAGGAGCTCTCCCAACACCAAGCAGTTATGGGGAACCACCTTGCAGCACCCACCTGAACGAGCTGCTCGGTGTGTTGGTGAAGTTCCTCCAGGATGGGCAGGGTCTGCTCGGGAAGACAGTGCTCCAGGATCCTCTGGATGACGCGGCAGCCGTAGGGATGTGTGGACAAGGCGAAAACCTGCGCTCCAGAGACAGGGCAAGCACAGGCAGCCATGGCCCCATTAGTCTCTGTCAAACTACAAACCTTTCAGAATTTAAACCAACACCTGGGGGTTTCTCCCAGCACGGCAGCTCCAGGCAGCACCTACTGACACTGGAAACGTGCTCCCCAGTGCCACAGGACTAACTGGGGGGTGGCAGGCACATCAGCTTCCCCGGGCACAAAGTGGGAAAACAACTGGTAAAGCCTCTTGATTAATAAAAAACCCACTGGGACAGCCAACCATTATTAGACAGCATTTAAAAACACTGTTTCAGGAGAATAAATCCAGCTGAGTAAATACTGTTTGCCAGCTCCGTATTTTAGAAATGCTATGAACCAAGTTAATGCTCAGCAGAGAATTTTCCTCAACTATTTGCCTGTGTTTCAAAGCCTTAACTGCACTCGGGAGAAGTGACAACAAAGAACCTTCTCTCTCATTTCTAATGGATTACCACATCTGTTGGTAAGAACATGACACGTTTCATTATTGCCACAGAGTTTTCTGTCCAAAGCACAAAGTCCTATGTGGTTGCTTAAAATGAACAGAAGCAGCAAATCCAAGCACTGAAGTTAAATTCACAGTCTACAAATTTTTAATAACTCGTGAGTAAACTGTGCAGGAAAACGGGACTTGAAGTGCAATTAACTGCAGAAGAATCGTCTTGAGGTGATAAGTTTAATCCTTTCATATGAAAGTTCAGATGAAACTGGGATGACTGGTCAAAGAACCACCAGTGCCATCAGCCAAGTTCCCAGAGGTGTTCCTGCCCCATCGAGCTCCCCAGTGGCAGGTCCAAAGCTGAACTCTGACCAGTAAACCTGCTGGGAGGGTGTCCAGCTGGAATCCTGCTTGTTTGGATCCACTCTCACACCTGATCCAGGAACAGCCAAACCCATAAAGCTCCTGGTTCCTGCTGTAACGACCCCGGGCTGTCCTCACAGCCCCCCAGCAAAAGCCTCAGCATTTTAAGGTCCCCCTCCAAAGGCAATGAAGTTGAAGCTGGAATCGCCCAAACTGGTGCCCATACTGGCAGACAAGCTGGCTACAGGAAGAATAAAGCCAGCTGCACAACTCACCCCCAGCACAGCAAGTCAGGAGAGGATATTAAGGAAATAACGGGAGAATGAAGCGCAAGTAACTGCTCTTTTCTGGATGAAACTTGCAGTTTTCCCCTGGTCCGAGACCCTTGGGAGACAGCAGTCCTCAGAGAGGATTTCACTGAATTTCACTGAATTTTAGAGTTGGAAGGGACCATAGAGATCATCTAGTCCAACCCCCCTGCTGAAGCAGGATTGCCCAGAGCTTGTCAGAGCATGTTACTCAGGAGCATCCAGGCGGGTCTTGAAAATCTCCAAGGAAGGGGACTCCACACCCTCCCTGGGCAGCCTGTCCCAGGGCTCTGCCACCCTCACTGTGAAGAAGTTTCTCCTCATATTTGAGTGGAACCTCTTCTGTTCCAACTTGTGCCCGTTGCCCCTCGTCCTGTCACTGGGAACCACTGAAAAGAGTCTGGCTCCCTCCTCCTTCAACCCTCCCTTGAGATACTTGTAGGCATTGAGAAGGTCTCCCCTCAGCCTTCTCTTCTCCAGACTAAAGAGGATCATCCTGAAAACTGACTATACCCATCACAGAACTCGGCTCAGCACCTTTCTGATGAAGGTGGGTTAATGAGAGACTTGCTTTTCCCTCCAGCAGGCAACAAAATAATTGATGTTCCAGGAAAACAGCTTTTTGCAGTGATGCTGTACCGTGCTATACCCGCACAGAAACGGAACTGGAGACATGACCAAAGAGTTTCAAAGCTAACGGGCTGCGGAAACCTTTCAATTGATGCTTACTAAAATTTAAAATCAAAAAATACCTGACCAAGTTACAGCAAAAGTTCAAAGCAACATATAAGAATACAAAGAACGACAGCCAGTGTCGTGGTTAAGGACTCACCTGTCCCTTAAACGCGTCGATGATGAACTGCAGGGACTGAGGCTGCACACACTCGATACACTTCTGCACCACGTGGTTACCGTTCTGGTCTTTCACACACTTGAGGACGTGGCCGTCCAGCTCCCGTACCATCTCGTTCTATGGGGGAGAGACAGACAAACAGAAAGCACCACCAGGATTCACGGCTGAGAAATGCCAAGTTTTTTCTGCTAAATGCGGTAAAACCACAAAAAGGGCCGGAGGATGCGCTGATGTGTCTCAAACTGGAAGTTTTTCCAGGAGCTGAGCGCTGGGGTGAAGCCTGTGGTGCTGCAGAAACCACCACGAAAAATACTGTAACAAACTGAAGAGGAAGCACCCATTTCATTACACATCAGTGCCCCCTTAGAAGTGTCCAAATTTAAGGCATTTCACTGATACCCAACTTCCCTGCGCATCCCCCTCCTCTGCTCCCCTGAAAGAGAAATCTAAAAAGGCCAAATTTCACCAACTTTTTGTGTACCAGCTCCGTATGTCACTAAAATGGGGTCAGCACCAGGATTAAGAACTTACTAGTATTTCACACAGGCAAGGTAATATTGTACGATCATTAAGGAAGCCAAGAAAATAAGGTTTAGATAGAAATAAATTAACACACATGCAAACTAAAAGATGTAGTTTGGAAAACAGAGAATGACAGTTTTGAGGAATTTAATAACACTATAAAATTGGACAAGATCCGTCTTGCAACTGACACAAAGCCAGGCATTTTAGGAGCACAGCACACTCTAAAATGCCCTTCTGGAAGAAAATAATTAGTGTATCTCAGGGCAGAGGTGGCAGAGTCTGGGCTACCACCCACCGCCCTGCTGAGGAGCACACCACCAGCTTAGCCAGGGCTGGACCGAAAGGGAACGTGGATTCCTAAAGCCTGTTTCAGTTCTTTCTAATTTAATATAACCTACACAGAGACTCTTGTATTACGACTCCCAACACCTTTATGAGGAGCTTGCCCAGCGTATTTCATTCAGTGTTCAGAAACCCTGGAGGAATTCCTTTATTAATGAGCTCTGAGCAGGACTCTGGCCACCAGCCACATCTCTCCAGTGCCAGGGCTGGCTCCACAGCACCAGGAACTCCTCCCACCCCTCGCTCTGCTGGGAAGCACAACACTGACCCCCAAATCAAGGCAGGGATATCTCAGCAAATATTCAAGGCAAAAGCCCGGCACCACTTCCTTCGAGGCATTTAAAATTATCTTCTAATTAGAATCATAGAATCATAGAATGGTTTGGGTTGGAAGGGACCTCAAAGATCATCGAGTTCCAACCCCCTGCCCTGGGCAGGGACACCTCCCACCACACCAGGTTGCTCCAAGCCCCATCCAGCCTGGCCTTGAACACTTCTAGGGATGGGGCAGCCACAACTTCCCTGGGCAACTTGTTCCAGTGTCTCACCACCCTCATAGTAAAAAATTTCTGAGATCTAATCTGAATCTCTCTTTTTTTTTTCCAATTTAAAACCGCCTCCCCTTGTCCCATCACCACGTCTCCTGGCAAAGAGTGCCTCCCTACCTCTTCTATAGGCACCCTTCAGGTACTGAAAGGCCGCTACAAGGTCTCCTCGGAGCCTTCTCCTCTTCAGGCTGAACAATCCCAGCTCCCCCAGCCTGTCTTCATAGGAGAGGTGCTCCATCCCATAGGAGAAATGGGTTCTCCTATTAGACTTTATCTTTTCTATTATTCCACATCGGGGAATAACTTGCTCTAGTAAAATCTTGACAACATTGGAAACGGTAGCAGTCTCCTATCTATTTGGCTACAGTATATATATTTAGACAACCATAAGTCCTTAAGAATTGGTCATATAAAATTCGTGTTCACCATCATTCTCATTTTCCGCTACACACATAATCTGATTTTGGGGAATTAACAGAGAACTAACACCATTAACAATTAAGGGGAACAAGGAGGTGACAAGGAGACCCAAGAAGGGGGTCACAAACTTATCGGGCACATCAAACAGAACAAACACGCCGTAAAACCAACCAAAAGAACAGAAGCCACAAGAGGGACAGGAGGTCGCAGTCACCACCGAAGGGCAAGGAAACGTTCAAACATCAAGAAGAAAGTTAAAATTGAAACTTACAATTACCTGCTGGTCTGGGGGAATGAACTCCAGGGCCTTCTGGATCACCCGGCAGCCGTACATCTGCAGGGCCAGCGACAGCACGTGCCCACGGATCCGCTCTGCCAAGGCCAGCTTCTGCTCCAGGCTGCCAAACTGGGGGAGAGGAAACCAGACAAGGAGACCCAAGAAGGGGGTCACAAACTTATCGTGCACATAAAACAGAACAAACACACCGTAAACCCAACCAAAAGAACAGAACAGAAGCCACAAGAGGGACAGGAGGTCGCAGTCACCACCGAAGGGCAAGGAAACGTTCAAACATCAAGAAGAAAGTTAAAATTGAAACTTACAATTACCTGCTGGTCTGGGGGAATGAACTCCAGGGCCTTCTGGATCACCCGGCAGCCGTACATCTGCAGGGCCAGCGACAGCACGTGCCCACGGATCCGCTCTGCCAAGGCCAGCTTCTGCTCCAGGCTGCCAAACTGGGGGAGAGGAAACCAGAACCACAGAATTATCTAGGCTGGAAGAGACCCTCGGGATCTGGAAGGGACCCTCCTGGAGGTATTTAAGAAACGTGTAGACATGGTTCTTCAGGGCATGCTCTAGTGCCCAAGATTACTGGTTTGTGGTGGGGCGTACATCTGCAGGGCCAGCGACAGCACGTGCCCACGGATCCGCTCTGCCAAGGCCAGCTTCTGCTCCAGGCTGCCAAACTGGGGGAGAGGAAAATCACAGAATCATCCAGGCTGGAAGAGACCCTCGGGATCATCGAGTCCAACCATCCACCCTACTCTAAAGTCCTCCCCTACACCATATCCCTCAACACCACATCTAAATGGTTCTTAAACACAGCCAGGGATGGTGACTCAACCCCCTCCCTGGGCAGCCTCTTCCAATGCCTGACTTCCAAACCAGTCACTACCAGCACAAAACCCCGCGTGGGATGGTGGCCCCCCCACACTGGAGGGGTGAAGGAGAAACGCCGTGCCTACTGAAAAGAGAGAAACCACCACCCACACCTCCAGGGAGGGGAAGAGGCGCGAGCGAGAGGCCTGGTCTGTGTCTGTCAGACGTGTCCGACCTGTGAAAAGCTCCAGAGCCAAAGGTGCCTGAGCCAGCAGGGTGACGTGTCCCTGTGGTGACGTGTCCCTCTTCACTCACCCTTGATAGGGCTGCTAGAAAATTATGGGATAGAAGAACCACCAAGGCCTGGTGGAGCAGGAACGGAGCAGTTTCGAGGAGAGAAGGGTGTCTGCCCAACCTCCTGGTGTGAAAACACAACACTTCCTTCACTGGGGAAGTTTCCCTTTTGTTCCTCACTACACAGGCACTGACAACTCAGCGCAGAATCCCTGAGAAGTCTTGTTGGAGCTGCATCTCCTGCACACACTGTTTACTCCTACACCTCTGGCATCTCAGAGCAACTTTCCAGGTGAGACCCACACCTCAGTCACCCCAACAGGAATGATGAGACCACAGAATCACAGAATGGTTTGGGTTGGAAAGGTTGGTCCCATCCAGTGCCACCCCCTGCCCTGAGCAGGGACACCTCCCACCACACCAGGTTGCTCCAAGCCCCCTCCAACCTGGCCTCGAACCCCTCCAGGGATGGGGCAGCCACAGCTTCTCTGGGCAGGTGACATCACTGCTGACAGATATTCACAATTTTAGCCAAACAGCGGGGTTTCTAAGAGCTTGTCCAAGACCCCGGGAGAGCAGACACCCCAGTGAGGCTCGCAGGGGAACGCAGACTTACTTCAAAGAACTTCTGGATGACATAATTTCCAAACACATCGACCATCAACTGATAAGCTGCCTGGAGGATCTCGTTGAAGACAAGCTGCCGTTCTGCTGGGGTCGCACGCTCCAGCTTCAGTTGAATAAACCTGAAAAACAGGGCTGGTGTGACACCACTGGCACATACACCCTCCACTGTTCAAAAGCCTCATACACCACGTTCTTGCAAACCCTAAGTCTTCACAACATGGTTGCCCTATCCAGGAATCTGAAACCATGGGGACATCACTGCTGACAGATATTCACAATTTTAGCCAAACAGCGGGGTTTCTAAGAGCTTGTCCAAGACCCCGGGAGAGCAGACACCCCAGTGAGGCTCGCAGGGGAACGCAGACTTACTTCAAAGAACTTCTGGATGACATAATTTCCAAACACATCGACCATCAACTGATAAGCTGCCTGGAGGATCTCGTTGAAGACAAGCTGCCGTTCTGCTGGGGTCGCACGCTCCAGCTTCAGTTGAATAAACCTGAAAAACAGGGCTGGTGTGACACCACTGGAACATACACCCTCCACGCGTAATACAAAGCTGTTCCAAAGCCTCATACACCATGTTCTTGCAAACCCTAAGTCTTTACAACACAGTTGCCCTATCCAGGAATCTGAAACCATGGGTGGTCGCAGCCGTGGAGGTCCGCGGCCACACATCGTTACTGGTACCCCAAAAATCTCATTCTACGGAAAGCTGATCTCAACAGAATAAAAGAGCAAGGTCTTGCATCCAGGGGGCTCTTTAAAATGAGTCAAGATACACCAGTGGGATCAGAGAGCAAATCAGGAAGCAAACAAGGTTCTTTTTTAGAGGAGAAGCTCCTCCTACCAGCATTTGTACCCAAGCAATCTTTAAAGAGAATCATGGAATTGTCAGAGTTGGAAGGACAATCTTTAAAGAGAATCACAGAATTGTCAAGAGTTGGGAGGGACCTTCTAGAGATCATCCAGTCCAACCCCCTGCCAAAGCAGGGCTGCCCAGAGCACATCACTCAGGAGCATCCAGGTGGGGCTTGAAGATCTCCAGAGAAGGGGACCCCACACCCTCCCTGGGCAGCCTCTGCCAGGGCTCTGCCACCCTCACCCCAAACAAGTTCTGCCTCACATTGGAGTGGAACTTCCCATGGTCCAGCTTGTGCCCGTTGCCCCTCGTCCTGTCACTGGGAACCACTGAGAAGAGTCCGGCTCCATCCTCCCTCAACCCACCCTTTAGGTACTTGGAAGCATGAAGAAGGTCTCTCTCCCCTCAGCCTTCTCTTCTCCAGGCTCAAGAGCCCCAGCTCTCTCAGTCTTTCCTTGGCAGGGAGATGCTCCAATCCTTGAATCATCTTCATTGCCCTACCCTGGACTCCTTCCAGTAGCTTCTTGTCCCTCTTGAACTGGGGAGCCCAGAACTGGAGGCAGGATTCCAGTTGTGGCCTCCCCAGTGCAGAGCAGAGGGGGAGAATGACCTCCCTCCACCTCCTGGCCACACTCTCTTCCCATCAGTGTCACACCATGGCTTTTCCCACCTCCTTCTCCCCGTTCTGCCTCTCTGCAAACAGCAACGGACGCTGACCCAAGGAGGCTCCAAGTCCCCAAAGCCCATAGCACAAGGGTCCCCACCTGGATCCGTGCTGGTCTTGGGAGAACTCCATGATGTGCCCGGCGATCTCCCTCAGCTGCAGGTTGGGGTAGCGGTTATTGCGGAAGTCCTCCAGGAGCCGGCTGCGGCCCGAGGGCATCACGTCGGACATGCCGTAGCGCAGGCGGGAGGAGGGGAAGAGGGTGCTGCTGGGGCTGAAGAGGCTGGAGGCGCTGCTGGCGCTGCGGTACTTGGCCTCCGCTCCCGGAGCCGCCGAGATGTAACGGCCACTGCCGTTCGTCAGCCCCCCTGCAAGTCACCAAAGGGTTCAGTTACCACCTCTGCACAGAGTCACACACGATCTGCGGGGTTGGAAGGGACCTTTGAGATCAGTGAGTCCAACCACACACACAAAAAAACCCAAACAAACCCCCCAAAACAACACAACCCATAGACAGGCACAACCCAACAATCTCGGGCACTAGAGCATGCCCTGAAGTGCCACATCTACACGTTTCTTAAACACCTCCATGGATGGTGACTCCACCACCTCCCTGGGCAGGCTGTTCCAGGGCCTGACCACCCTCTCAGCAAAGTCATTCTTCCCAACATCTCATCTAAACCTCCCCTGCCCCAACTTCAGACCATTCCCTCTGCTCCTGGCATTATTCCCATGGGAGAAGGGGCCAACCCCCACCTCTCTACACCCTCCTTTCAGGGAGCTGTAGAGGGCAATGAGGTCTCCCCTCAGCCTCCTCTTCTCCAAACTCAACATGCCCAGTTCCCTCAGCCTCTCCTCGTGTGACTTGTTCTCCAGACCCCTCCCCAGCTTGGTGCCTCTCCTCTGGACACGCTCCAGCACCTCAATGTCCTTCTTTTAGCGAGGGCCCAGGTGAAGAGTGGGTGCTGTTCAACCTCTAATTACTCCCTTTTCCACCCAGAAGGGTTTCTGACACGGTTCAGGTAGGAAATATTTGAAATTAAGCTCGGCAAACTGCCCCCGGTGTCACTGCCATGGGGCTGTGTCCAAGCCAAGTCTCCCCCAGTCAGGTGGGGACAGCTTTAAACTTCAGCAAAGAAGAGACTTTTATCAACTTCTGTTCCTCACTCTGTCTCCAAACCAGACAATCTGTCCATCCCACTGCTCGCTAACCCTGTGTTCCTAATGACCTTGTCCTCCAGCCTCAGCATTTTTCACCTCTCCTGCTGTCCTGCAAAGGACTGATTTAAAGGAAACGCAGTGGAAGCGAGCACACAGAATCAAGACAAAATTAGGTAAGAAACAGGCAGCAAGAAGCAAGTATAAAAATTTTGGATATAAAAAAAATTCTTATTAAATGCAGGTAAATAGCAATAAATAAAAAATTATAAATATCACAGAATCACAGAATCGTAGTGGTTGGAAGGGACCTCTGAGATCATCAAGTCCAACCACATTTAAAAAAAAAAAAAAACACACAAAAAAAGACAAAAAACCCACGAAACACACTCAAAACCACCACCCACCAACTAAACCCCACACCCACAACCCCACACACAACACCCTACCACAAACCAATAATCTCGGGCACTAGAGCATGCCCTGAAGAGCCATGTCTACATGTTTCTTAAATCCCTCCAGGGA